ATAAGTCTTTAAGCTGAAGAGATCAAATCAAATATTTCATTAAGAGCAGTAAGTATAGACATAGGTGGATCGTATTTTGCAGCGAATGCAGCAAATCCAATCGCTGTAGTATGAAGGAAATTTTCTCATTATTTAGAATTCCATGTCATAATGAGAGTTGATTCTTTAGGAATATATGTGACTATGCATTTATATAGATAAATTATTATTTTATCTATATAAATATGTTTAATCATAGATATAGCTATAAAATAATCATAAATGATTTAAACATTCGAGAATCATTTTTTTTTAATCTAAAAGTTCAAAGGCACCAAGAAGAAACTAGAAAGAAATTGGGCGTGCGAATGGTACATCACCATCATGGTCCTACGTCTCATTTTTTATAAAGCCATCAACTTTATTGACTATGAATTGAAAGCTGCAGCTGCTGTGAAGTTGCCTGTCCTTAACTTTCAATTAAATCCTGTGAGTCACGCAATACAAACGTCCAAAATGATGTCTCTCACTAACGAAAGTGGCATCGGACTTCGGGCGTTCAAACCAAGAATTTCATCGTTTATATCTTACAATAAACATCCTTTTCTCCTTTTCTAATGTAAGGCACTTGTTCTTCTTTTGTAAATTTCTGGAGGAGGATGATCTGGTGGAGAAGCTTTTCACATTAAGAATGTAAATAGAAGCTCTTCCCATTAATGAATGTAATGTTATTGTTGCTAAAATGTCCAATCCAAAAGAACGGACGGAATTTCAAGAACAAGAATTAGCGCAATCCAAATAAACTGAGGCAGAATAGGGCTATGATACATGTGAAAATGTCCAATCCAAAAACCTTACAGGAAAAGGAAGACCATATGCATACAAATAGCATGTTAACCGCGTAAACAACCAATGTGGGACACTTTAATAATTTTTGTTATAATTCTTTTCCTTGTTTGAGGATTTCTACTCATAACTTTGAATTTGATGACTTTTTCAAGATATTACGAAAATCAATTTTAAATTTTATTTAATACGAGATAAAAAAAATTGTATCAAAACATAAAAATACATATATGTTATCGTAACTATTTCACTATAAATATATGAAATGTAATGTTATTTTTATAAAGATCTAACTAACGAGTGTCCTAAATACATTAGTTAAATTAAACATCATGCAAAATATTTAAGCAGTCTCCTTAAAGTCTCAAAAGTCTTCGTCAATCGTCAAGACTTTAACATCAAAGTCCTCGACTTGCATTCGAGAACCGCGAGGCTTTCTGCGAAATTGCGTAGAAGACCGTTGATCAATCTTTAACATCAGCGGTGGTCATCATCAATCTTCTTTTTTCTTTTCCTTTTCTTCGGCTAAGCATAGTTGTTTCTTATGGTCAAGACCATGGACCGGCCATCATTACATTTCCTCAACTATAGATAGTCCATTTCCAAAAAAAAAGGAAAAGATTTGCACAATCATTTGCTTTTTAATATAAAGGCACATTTTATGAGAATATTTGAGTGATTAAAGGTACTTAATTATAATAAAAGGTAGGTCATTAAGGCGAAGAGATCAAAACAAATATTTCATAATGAGTAGGAAGCATATGCTTAAGTAATGCTTAGGTGAAGCACTTTTTGTATTGAATGCAGCAAATCCAATGCTCTGCGGTATGAAGGAAAATTTTCTAATTATTCAGAGTTTCATGTGTCATAACGAGAGGCAAATCTTTAGGAACTTTTTGTTATTATTGCATTTATATAGATAAATTGTGAATTTACAATATTGGATTGGAATTTTAAATATGTCAAACTATAGATATAGCTATAAATAATTATAAATGATTTAAATGTTTGAGAATCAAAATTTTTAAATCCAAAAGTTCAAAAGCAAAAAGTGAAAAGCACAAAGGAGAAACTCTCAAGAAATTGGGCATGTGAAAAGGTACACCTCCATTATTGTCCTACACCTTATTATTTGTAAAGTCATCAACTTTATTGACTATAAATTGGAAGCAGCACTGCTGTGAAGTTGCTTGATTTTGGGTAGGAGGAGTTGAGTCTTCTAGTAATTCAAAAGAGGTTTTTTCTAACTTTTTTTTACGATAAACTCACTTGAAATGGATTTGGTACAGAGAGATATGGTATGCCAAAATTTGTTGACAGCGATATGGCTTCTACTTAGTGTTTCGATTGTCCACATTAGCACAAATCGAACGGAAAATGGAGCGACATAATAGCAAGACGAGGGATGACCCTTTCTTAAAATACAAGGACGATTTTGGATAAAAAAAAGTGTAGGGATGGTTTTGAATTTTAGGCAAGAATACATAAACAACTGGTGTCGTTTCACCCAATTTTATACAAATAAAATGGTTGCTGTAAGATACTTAGAATTTTTTTCACGCAAAACAATGTGTAGAGGATGAAATAGTGTTTGTAGACAAAATATGCACTGCAGAGCAAATATCTTCCATCAACAAAAATGTAAATAGAATAACAAGTTAAAGAGATTGCAAACCAATTTATAGTGATTCGACCTATCTACTTAACCTCTTCCATTATCCCAGCTCTATTAGCCCAATAACAAGATTGGAATCCATTAATGCAATCCTTGAAACCTTTAAGAGCGTTCACAATGGAGTTGCCTCTCCGCAATGGACTATAGCTCACTCTACAAGGACAGTCATTTCACTCTACACTCAAAGTGCTCTTTACGATAATTATATTGACACTCTCTTAGAGAATTACGATTAGAATCATGAGACTTTTTTTTTTGAAAGAATAAGCACAAGAATTAATAACAACCTTTGAGAGCACAAGAATTACATTAACACTCTCTTGGAGAATTACGATTAGAAGCATGAGGTTTGTTTTTTGAAAGAATAAGCACAAGAATTAATAACAACCTTTGAGAGCGTTTTGCTAATTTGGCCAACCTTCAACAACCACTTTGATACATATATAGCCCTCAAAACTTGATCAATACGGTCTTCAAATAGGTCATGTGCTGCCTCGCCTGACCCTGCTAGGATATGGGCACTCGTTTGGTAGGGGGAGCAGTTACGTGACTGGAAAAAGAGTGATGAAAGTTTTGGGAATAAATAAATATTTTCATATGCACCATCTTTTTTAAGGCGAGGATTATCACAATTTAAAATAAGGAAGCATGAAATGTATACTAAAAAAGGGTAATGGCGAAATATCTGAAATGTGGAACAAATATGAAGTATTCTGAAAAGTGAGATGACATGTTAAGAAACTTGCATTAGGCAATCATGAATAAATGCACAAAAAATATTTTTTTTTTATTTTCTTAAGATTATGACCAATATTTATAAGCTTAAACTCATGATTGATGATAACATTAGAGTTATCTAAGAGAATCGGAAGCTCCTTTTAAAATTCTTTAATGTCGGAAATATATTCAATATTTCAAAACATGAAACATTATCCAAGAGCACTTATTCATGACTCCTGGACTACTCTTAAGTTTGTGCTCATATGTATGTAAATAAATATATAGTGTATGTTAGAATATTTAAATAATAAACCATACATTAATCTTATATACCTTAAGTTTTTATAACAGTTGGCAGTGATTCTATAAAATCTCACCGTATAAATGTGTGCCAAGTATGAATTTTTTAATTGTTCTCTCAACCTAGTCAGTCCGCGTATGATACCCAAAAATTCACATGTTCCCTGATCAATAAGAAGGAATCTCTCTCTTTTAAGTGAAGAAGGGGACGTCACCTTCACATGCATTGTGCCTCCACCTAAAAAGTAAGCATGAGTTTTTTTTATGTATTCCAATCGTTTGAGACAATGGCTTGAAAGAATAGGATGTACATCCTTGTATGAATTTTCCATAAGGTGTTGCTAAGTTGTATAAAGTAGCGTATCGAAGATGACCATAGTTATGGCATACGATTGCCATGACTTTGGAAGGATTGTTGTTTTGTACATAATTTGTGCAAAGTTGGGTTTGTATAAACAATCATGAAAGCATTATGTGTATTTTGAATGCTATTCTTGAAACAACATTTTGTTCAGATTTGATCACGGTGTCTATCCTAGAGTGTCTCGCTAGCCAACCTGTGAATAGAGCTAACCTAATGCACATGGATGGAGCGATTTGAGCGTATAAATCGATGTTAATTGAGTCGAATGATTTGGATACTAGTGTTGTAAGTGAGATAAAAAAAAATGTGGACAAGTCTTCCTCTCATCAATTACTTTGTTCACTGCACCAATTTAGTCAACAAGTCAAAACAGCGAATAACGCCACGAAAAACGTATGTAAATAAAACACGCCAAAATGAAGAAGACACCATCATTGTAACTTTCTTCGTCTTTTCCTCTTTTGGGCCACATCGGCAATGGCCGTCATTAATCTGCTTTTCCCTTTCTTCAGCTGAGCAAAGTCATCTCTTATGGTCAAGATCATCGTGGTTTCTCTTTCTTTTATTTCCACGTTCAAAGCAGCACCGCGATGGAGTGGCAGCATGGCCATTGACAGGCCATCATTGCATTTCCTCACCTATAGATAGTCCACTTGCGTAAAAGTAAAAGATTTGCACAATCATATGCTTTTTAATATAAAGTCGCATTTTATGATAATATTTGAGTGGTTAAAATTAATTATAATAAAAAGTAAGCCTTTAAGACGAAAAGATCAAAATAAATATTTCATAGTGAGTAGGAACCATATGCTTAGGTAGTGCTTAAGGGGAGCATTTTTTGAGGTGCATGCAGCAAATCCAATTCTCTGTAGAATGAAGGAGATTTTTCTAATTATGCAGGGTCACATGTGTCATAATAAGTGGCTATTCTTTAGGAATATTTTGTTATTATGCATTTATAAAGATAAATTGTGAATTTACAATATTGAATTTGAATTTTAAATATGTCCAGCTATAGGTATATCTACAAAATAATCATAAATGATTTAAATGTTTGAGATTCAAATATTTTTTTTATCAAAAAGTTCAAAAGCACAAAGTGAAAAGCACGAAGAAGAAACTCGAAAGAAATTGGGCATGTTAAAAAGGTACACCTCCATTATTGTCCTCCATCTTATTAACTTTATTGATTATAAATTGGAAGCTCCACCGTAGTTGCCTGTACGCGTTGAACTTTCAATTAAACCCCGTGAGTCACGTAATACACAGGTCCCTATGATAAACATCCTGTTTCTCCTTTTCTAATGTAACGCCCTGGTTCTCCTTTTGTAAATTCCTGTGGGAGGATGATTTGGTGGAGAAAGCTTTTCACATTAAGAATGTAATAAAGGCTTTTCCCATTCGAGAACCAGAAGGCTTTGTGCAAATTTGCTAGAAGAAGTATTTTAACAGTGTCAATTAAAGAGAGAGAGAGGGCTGACCCTGCTAAGTGCGAAGTGAGCTCCTATGGCGAGCCCAGAGACAGGAACGAGTGCCAACAATACATTTGGAGGTGAGTACGAGGTGTTTCTAAGTTTTAGAGGGCTCGATACTCGTCGTACATTCACCAATAGCCTCCACCATGCCTTGTTACACGCTGGGATTCGTGTTTTCATCGATGATGAGGAACTTCGATTTGGTGAAAGAATTAGCGACAACCTTCCACAAGCGATCGACGACTCCAAGCTCTACATACCCATCTTCTCCAGAAACTACGCTTTAAGTCATTGGTGCCTCGACGAGCTAGCGAAAATGGTGGAGAACGCCTCTAAATCTAAGGAAGATGGGAAGAAGGTCATATTGCCCATCTTCTACGATGTGGAACCCAATGACGTGAAGTTGAAAACCGAGTTGTACAGCGAGGTCATATCGAATTTGGAGAAACAGATGAAGGGACAGAAGAATAAGTTCAGCTCCAAGGATATAAAGATGTGGCAACAGGCTCTCCAGGAAGTTGGTGGTATCAAGGGATGGGAGTCGAAGAAATATTCAGGGTAACGTTCTAACCATGATTGTGAAAATAATTTTGTAAAATCGGACCATAGTTCTTATAAAAATTCATTAATTATATTCAAACTCTAATTTCCCTATTTTAAACAGAAAGTTTCAAATTCTTCTTTTATTCTTTTTAAATCACGAGATTTCCAAAAAAATTTCTAACCTAATAGGGTTATTATAATTTCGTTTTTCACCTATTTTCCATCGTATGAAAATTTTGGCTTTGCTTCATCTTTTTTATACTAATTTGATCCATGTATGTATTAAGATTCCTATCGTATGCTAAAGAACTTGATTAAGGAACTGTTGCCTTTGCAAAGTTCTTTTCCACGTCGAAAGAAATAAGTAAATCTACCATTACAGCAATTCATCAAATGTTTATATTTTGATTATTCTACCTTTTTTGCTAGAAATTCTGATTCTTCTGCTTGATATAAAGATCAAACATTTCTCTTCCTCTATTCCTTTAACTTAAACTTGTAATGGACGTTCAAGTTTGTAATTCATCATGTTCCCAAAGCTTTGGGGGTGACGTTGAATTTTGATATATCCATAACTTGATCGCGTTCCCAGCTGATTGCTTAGAAGAAGGTCGGTCAACATGTAAATTTGTCACCTTTTCTCAATTGAAACCGTTCAACTTTGTGACAGCGATGGGGAACTTATCCAGGAGGTTGTTGACGAGGTTGTGGTCAGGCTCGAGACAAGACAAAGACCAGTAACCAAAGATTTAGTTGGAATGGGGGATCAAATAGCAGCCATAAACAATTTATTAGACATCGACTCTGGTGGTGTGCGGCTAATTGCAATCTACGGGATGGGCGGCATCGGTAAAACAACACTGGCCAACATTATCTTCAACCAACTACGTTCTGAGTTTAGGAAAAACTGTAGCTTTCTTGAACACGTGAGGGAAACGGCTTTACAACAGTTGCAAGAAAAATTATTGTCTGATATGTCTTATTCTGGAGAGGCTAGTAAGATTCATAGCATTGATCATGGCATCAAGAGGATTGGGGACACAATTTGCAACAAGAAGATGCTAATTGTATTGGATGATATCGATAAGGGCAACCAGATCCAAAATCTAATCCCAGTGAATTCTTTGTATCCTGGTACTACGATACTCGTTACCACTAGGGACAAGAGCGTGCTGAATATTAGGGGATTTGCGAATAAATTTAAGGATTATGAAATGGTGGGGTTGAGCGATGAAGACGCACTCAAACTTTTTAGTAAGCATGCCTTCAATGACGACTCTCCTCGAGCCAATTACCACACTCTTTCAAAAAGCATTGTCTCTACTGTAGATGGACTACCTTTAGCTCTTGAAGTAATAGGTTCATCGCTTTTTGGTCAGGAAAAGAAAAAAATATGGGAAGACAGGCTAAAGAAGCTAAAGAAAACACCTTATAGGGATGTCATGCAAAAGCTAAGGATTAGCTATGATGCCTTAGAGCCGGATCAACAACAGATATTCCTCGATGTTGCATGCTTTTTCGTCGGTGAGAATAAGACTGATCCAATGTACATGTGGGAAGATTGTGAGCTTTACCCAGAGGAAGCCATTGATGTCCTTATTCAAAGGTGCATGATAAAGGTTTTAGATGGTGATAGATTTGGGATGCACGATCAGCTTAGAGATCTAGGAAGGGCAATTGCCAGACAAGATCGTACCAGATTGTGGGATAAAGGCGACATCATTTGCGAATTAAAAAAAAGAGAGGTAAAGTATGGCCAAATTTGAGTAGAAAATTGCTTATACCCTCTTCTTAATTGAGGATTCACGTTTTTGATTTGGGAGCTACTCTTCTGTTTCTTTTTTTCTTCTCTTCTACGAAAAAAAATAGTGAGATATTGACAAATTCCTGCTTCTACTCCTCAATGTCATTGGCAGATCAAGGAAGGCGTTCAAGTTGAAGCACTCCGTTTGCTATCATGGGGGGATCCTATAACTATCACTTCGGAGGAAATTAAGCGGTTCCCACATATACGGTTTCTTTCTTTGCATAGCGTAAACTGCCAAGGTGACTTTACAGGCTGTCTTTCCGAGTTGAAATGGATCGATTTAGGTTACCCTTGGGATAGTACTGACGAAGCCCGCTGTAATCGACATTTGGAGGGAACCAATTTGTTGCATCTAGAAAACGCGGCTGTGGTGAATCTTTATGGGCTTCAATTCACAGATGATGTGTTCAAGAGCCTAATCGAGGTACGCCAGTTTTCCTCTCAGTCTATTTTTCTCATTCAATGAAGGACAAAATTTCATGGATTTATAATCTAATTTTCTCATTTTGTGAGAGGATCAGTTGACATATGATACAAATTGGTAGCCTAAATCCATATTTATTTCTTGTCTGTCTTGATGTTTCATTGGCTTTTGTAGAAGGCAAGGAAATTGAAGGTTCTCACTATTATGCGTAATGAGTCGATCCATGGGACACCAATCTTTTCAAAGGACTCAGTTTTAGAGAAGTTGACTATTCGTTGGAATTCTTTTTTCTCGGAAATTGATTGCTCTATAGGGAAATTGAGGTGGCTAACTGACTTGAGTGTTGAGTCCTGCCACAAACTTAGAAAATTGCCTGAACAAATTGGAGAGCTACGGAGTTTGCGGCACCTCTCTCTTAGGTCTTGCCATTGCTTGATTGAACTCCCCGACTCAGTTTCGAAATTAGAGTCGTTAACGAAGCTGGATGTATCATTCACGAGAATTACAAGATTACCAGATTCCATTGGTAGACTACCAAGCCTGTCATCTGTATATGTATCGGCCACACTAATTGAAGAACTGCCCAGTACAATGAGTGAGTTTCGTCAACTCCAAACACTAGACTTGGTTGGTTGTCATGGGATACAGGAGCTGCCGATGCTACCCAAAAGTTTGACCACTTTATTGCTGATATCTACTTCGTTGCTCATTGTCCCTAACCTCTCGTATCTTACTAATCTAGTTGAGCTGGTCCTATCTGGTGGCTCTTATTCAACGGCCAAATCAAATATAATTCAAACTTGCGACTTACGGTGGATCAGGAAGTTATTCAAACTGAGCAAGCTGCGCTTTTGCTTTCCAAATGTCCACGCACCAACTATTGAGTTGGGTTCCCTTTCTCTGCTAAAAGAACTTACTCTATATGGACTGGACTTACCAACTTTCAAACAACTTCCGTCAAACTTGATAGTTTTAGAGCTCTATGACACTCGAGGAAAACAAGTACACCTCGATAGGCTTCCTCCATCGGAAAAGGAGACCGTTTCATCAAGTTCGAGAAAATCGAGAGAAAACAAGGCGTACGAGCAACATCACGTTCAATTACTCTATGTCTTAGAATTGTCGGAGATATCATGTATTCAAGACTGCAAATCTTCTGAGAGGTTGGCTTGTCTGCTAGAGGAGCTGGGGTGCAATGAACTACAAGCTCCCGAGTTGATTGATCATTGGAGGGGAGCCTTCCAATTCCCAAGCTCCCTGAAGATGCTTCGAAAATTCGTTCTATCGGGGTTCCCAGAGTTACAGGATATTCAATTTGTTTCTACGTTGGAATCATTGGAAGAATTTTCCGTTGAAGATTGCTCTTCATTAAAAAGCTTAGGCGGTTTGTCAAACTTGAAGAATTTAAAGGATTTAAGTATTATCCGATGCGTGAGCCTACAAGTTGTCGAGGGCATTGAAAAATTAGAGTATTCGTATCAGTTGAAAATCGAGGAGTGCAGATCAATGGAAAGGATTCTTGATGCATCGATACACATAACATATAGTGCTTCTTTTTCCCAACTCAATCGGGCGGTCCATCGTCCTCACGATCCGTCATCGATCCCGAGATCGTCAAGTACAACAGCAAGCAATGATGACCCAAGCCCCCTAAAGATGCTTAAAAAATTCCTCCTGTGGAGGTGTCCAGAGGTACAGGATATTCAATTTGTTTCTACGTTCGAATCATTGGAAGAATTTTATGTTCGAGAGTGCTCTTCATTAAAAAGCTTAGGCGGTTTGTCAAACTTGAAGAACTTGAAGCAGTTAACGATTGTCCGGTGCCCGAGCCTGCAGGTTGTCGAGGGCATTGATGAATTAGAGTTTTTGTGGTTGTTGATAATTAATGGGTGCAGATCAATGGAAAGGATTTTTGACGCATCGAGCTCAAAAATACCAAATGAGTGCTTGATAATCATAGAAGATTGTGAGAAGTTACTCAACAGTAGTCCAGATCGTCATTTCGAATATTGGGAGTCTTACAGAGAGAAGATTCTGAATGGAACAAAGCAAGCGCCAGACTCTGAAATTGAAACAACGGACTACGAAACAGAAACAGGGGATCCTCTGCAGGAAATGGTGCGCCTTCTTTCTATTCATAGATTATGGCTGTTTCTTCTGCTTTGCTTGCTTTCTATTTCTGCTTTATTCTAGTGAAGAGAGACAATGAACCGATTCTAAAACGTGCAACCAAAGGACAATCTTTATTAAAATTCCCCATCTTAATTGGAATCTCCATATGCTGTGTGTGTGTGTGTGTGTGTGTGTGTGTGTGTCAACTTCGTTGGTGAGGTTGGGGGATATTACAGCCTTTCTTAAGAGAAATTTAGGCCCAAGAGACCTCAAACTCACCGTGTCATTCCCTTCTGCAGAACCGGGAAAATGAAGAGAAATAAAGAAAGAGAGAGACAGAGTCAGTCTCAGATCACGAATCGAATCGGGATTAGGCCGAATGTACAACGGCCGACATTTCCTGGAGACTAAAACGAGGGCAATTTTGTCCGAAACCTGTAATCGGTGGAAAAAATTGACGAAAATCCCGAATTGAATTGGGATTAGGGTTCCTTTTCGCGTTTTCTTCTTCCTCTCTCCTGCTGCTCAAGCAAGTCGCGCCGTCGCCCTATCCTCGGCCGCTCCGCGCCCAATCCTCGTTCGCTCCTCGCTCATTCATGGCAAGCTTCAATCCGTCGTTCGCCGTCGTCTCTTTGTTTCCCAGGTTCCGTCGTCCGCGAGCTTCAAGTCCTTCTTCAGGGCCACTTTCCACTCTCGTGCACATTTTCATCTTCAATGCCGCTCAGCTGGAGGAATTTGGTGATACATGAGGCTCCGATGGTTGCACTCATTAACTCCATCAGTGGCGAGAGGCATGGGCCTGAACCCAAGCTCTGGAATCACCAGGTAACCGCTGAAGAACAGGCGCGAGTGGTGTGGCGGTTGGTGTTTAGTTAAATGTAATTTGTGTGATTTATCTTGCGTAGTTAAGCATGAGCTCGAGCTCTAGCTTCATATGGTAATAGCTGTATAAGGGGTCTGCTTCCTTTTGCAATTGTTGGACTATTGGAAAGCCTAGTCTAGTTATATGTTGCTATGCTTCTGTGTGGACTGCTCGATTGCGTGTAATCATGTGCCGGCGTGTTGTGCATCTGTTAGTTGGGGTGTTACAAGAATTATGTGTATTTGGTGAGCTGAATTAATGTTAGAAAGTTGCATAATTTGGGAAACAGAGTTTATTACAGCTTTGATGGAGAGCGGCGAAGTAAATTTTCGGAGTCGACCATCTGAGGATGGAGCCATTCCCATGAATGTTAATGCAGAGCTCACAAAGCTTTCTACACAGGATTTTGAGCATCTTCTCATGAAGAGTTTGTAAGTATATATAATGGTCGCTTTAATGAGTATCCACCGTCTCTTTATTGCCTGTGAGGAGCTCTCAATGATTGAAAATGAAGCAAACAACAATGCTTCTCTTCTCGGTTCTTCATACAGAATTAAATGGGATAACCAGGTTTGTCTTTTTCATATTTTGTGCAGTTGCATTTTCCATTGGTAATTTGAGGTCTGCTGCATATGGTTGAAAGGGCTAGAAGTTTGTGGGTTGGCTGCACGGAATGTGCCTAAAGTGACTGCTGTGAACATGCGCCCTATTAAGAGACTTAGCTAGTATTAATCGAACATAACTAGTATTATACAACGAGTGGTGGCCGATGCGAATCGGCATTTCTTTTTATTCTTTTAACGTTGGTGCTAAGTTTCATTATTTGGGGGGTGTAAAAGATGATTACTTTGAGTTATTTATTCATGCTTGTAGACTGACCTTCACTATTTCTGGTGTCAGAACAGAAGAGCTTCGGATATGCGTCAGTGTGCTGTTGCTCAAAATCTAGAGAACAATTTCTTTTTTTGGCATAAGCCGTAATGGCAAATACATGGATGTTGTAGTTGCTTACACCTTCTCTACTCTAGCATAAGTAATGAAAAACCGACATTGAAGCATTTACCTTATTTTACAGTAGTCTAATCATTAGAATCTCAACTTAGGTTCATCTTAATGAGGGCATATAATCATGGGTGCAGCCAAGAGCTTTGGGGATTCCACAGGTCAAATTACTGCGTGACCGACTGGACAATTGGCTGGACAAAGTACACACGGCTTTGTTATATGTTCAAGCATCCGTTTTTGCAACGATCTTCTGATTTGAACTGAAAGAAGAGAGATAGATGAGACACTTTGTAGCAAGGTGCTTGGTCAGGCAGTTGTGCATCTCAATTTACTTCCTTAGTGCTTCATTGTCTCATGCCTAATTCTCCTGTGAAATCAGCAATTCCTTCCTACTTTCTCACGTCTAAGGTGAGTCCTCTTAAAACTGTGGGAACTCGGTTTTATCCTTTGGATGTGGTCATTGGAACATGTACTGATTTCTTTTGCTCATTTGTGTCCATTTTGATCCTCCGTCATGTAAATGGTGCACATTTAACTGCCGAAAGCCCAGGTTTCCTTCTCACTCTAAAACGATATACAATATTGGTTAGATAGGACCTAGAATGGAATTCTTCACCAGCATGATTAGGAGACCACCATGTATTTAAGCAAATACATGACTTACTAAGCACCAAACAGATATTTGAAACCAGCGAAAGAGCTCCAGCATAAGGTTATCTGACATGAGACTCTGCACCAGGAGTGCTACCAAACCCGCCATCCAAAGTTTTGCAACTCACTGTATATCTCACAGCCTTCTCCACGTCTGTCGAATCCAACCGTTTTAGTATTGCAAGACAGCATATAGCACAATAAGAGAACCTTCGAAGGGAAATAAAGGGGTGAAAGGGATGTCAATTATTTAAGTAACATCCTCAAGAAGCACCAAAATTGTAATTGATCAAAGGCGAAGACAAGACGCCGAGAATCGACTTCTCCCCACATATCACCAGAGAAAGATCCATCTTCATTTTGCAGTGCTCTGATGTCTGAATCATAGTTCATGCACAACAATGTTTGACTAGCAATATAAACATTATAAAGTAACTGTAAACAAAATTCCATAACATGACATAATCCGACTCTTACATGCAAAACAGAGCCTAAGGTAAGTTTATTACTCTCATGATGTTGAAAACTAAAAAACATAAAATAACACTGATGAACTTGCATCTATGGTGACAGTTTGCAGATCTAGGGCGCTTTATTCCAAAGGATACAATTTGTCACCTTATTGATGTCAAGAACATCTAACTTGTCAAAAAGGGCCAAAACTTGCACGGCACCGAGTGTATACAGCAGATGCGGATCACGTCCAATATTTCCCACCAAATCCACCTGCACATGCAGCCCTAAGTGACATTCGTATTTTGTGCTTAAAGGTGAAGTTTTAGAATATAAATAAATAAAGCAACACTAATCACTCCTAAGACGTGGTCATCATTGTAATAGATGGAATTTGTTAATCCCAAGTTAAAATCTTAATCATACTGTCAAATAAGAAAATTTTGATTGAATGCGGGGTGGAGCTTCCTGTTAGCTGCATGTTTTTCATGGGTAATCGCGAAATAGAAGCCAAGACAAGAGACAGATAAATACAAACCAGACTTGTGCTGGCATTGCAGGATCCACGAAACAACTTCATTCGAATCCACAGTGTCAAGTTTTCCAACAAGATCTAGAGTGGTCAATCCTCAAAATATGCCCCAGTCAATGTCAAGTGCTCCATAACCACCAACTCAAAACCATCCTTTTTCTGAGTGCAAGATACAACCCAAAAACTCAAATCAGTGAACTCCAACATGCTGAACAGCAGATCCAGATAAACCAAGTCATTTTCAGTAACCGGCAGGAGGTGGACAAGAGAACAAGATGAGAATTGTAAAAATTTCATACCTACATTTTCAATAGACAGTATGTACTTGACATGTTTATTGCCGGCGAGCTCCCCCATCTCTCGATAAGAGACTACATTTTTATCAACATGGAATTAAATCTTACACATACCACCTAAGAACACAGCAACGGAAGTGCAAAAAGGATATGATTACGAAGTTTTTGTGAGGTCATCAAGGATTGTAACGATCCTATAAATTTAACAAGCCCTAGTTTCATTTCAAAAAATTTTAATCAAATAAGTCTGCTTATCGATAATAAAACGATAGAGCAATGATCTCAACTGTAAATTGGTAATTTGTAAATCCAAGTACTAGCACTTACCAGTTATCGAGGACGATTATGCACGAAAGTGCGTAGTTAAATGCTTATGCACGAAAGTGACGCAATTGGATTTATGGTACGTTTCATTTTTTCTTTGATTATTCCAGTTAATTTTTTTAAAATACTATTGCAAATTGCGTGTGTTATTTTATACACCCATAGAGACCTACTTAATTTTAATTTGGGTTACTTACTTTTTATAAATACTAATATTTTCCATAATATATTTTTCCTTATTTCAAGAGTTTAGGTAAGTAGTAAGAATCAAATGTTTTTCCCCTTTCTGAAATTAAAAAAGTGGGTTTTCATAATTTTTTATCACAAATATGAATGGACATACTAAAACTTTCGGACCGGTCGGGGCCATTCGAGATCCACTATGCGAAGCCTGAATTTTGGGCCCGGCCTGAATAGAAAATAAAAGAGGCCAAAAGACCAGGTCGACCATTTTGGGCATTTGAATTTTGGGTCGGGCCAGTCCGAATTTTCGGGCTTCCGATTAGTAGTTTAGAAGTAGGTAAGTGTGTGTTGGGCTCGTATCTAGGACATTACTGAGTCTTTTTCATAAAATAGTTAGGCTTGTACTTCAGTTCGGTCCACCCAAATTTCACCAGGTTGTGCAATGATGAGAGGGATAAAGTCATCTTGAATTATTGAACCTTTTCAATTCGTGCAATATCATCCCTAAACTTTCTTTTAGTGCAATTATATCCTTGATTTATCTGTTTCTTTGTTCATATTAATCCTTCCGTCAAATATTCGGATGGAAATGCTGAATTGGTCGCCCTCGTTAGTGCCACGCAAAGACTTTTCCTATCAAACGTTGACATGGGGGAAAAAACAAGTAAATGGGGACATGCTTAAAAAGAAATTTTTTTAAAAATCACAAACATAGAGAGAGAGAAGTGGGAGGGAAGCTTAGTCTCGGTATAGGCAAGGTTGCGATCCTTGCCGCTGTGTGCCAGGGACCTTCTGGCGATAGTGCGCTTGACGGCAAGGGCTGCTTGCCTAGATCCAGGGCGATGGCAACACTTGGAATCTTCACCTGCTCCCTCTCTCCCGATCTCATCGATTTAACTCAATCATTATTGCAGTTGGAATCGACATTTGGGACATAATAATTCTGAGACTATTTTTCATCCGAAGGACCTACTTGGAAAGAACGTAAGAAGTGCGATCCCCCTTCTCTGCCCGACTCATTGGTCTTAAGAATGCTGAAACATTATGGTAGGTACAGGGAAGCCCAATCTTCTAATTCTGGTTTTATTTTGGCAGGCCGAGCTCTCAACGGGAAAAACGCAATTCTGGTGTAGCAGTTATCACGCCCACATTAAACGCCTGGGTAGCCGAGTGCGGAGCGGAATCCTCCCAAATGGAGAGATAGTCAGAGAGGTGAGGGATGCTGTATTTCGCGGCCCTTGCCACCGGCGACCCAGCATTCGGTATACTTGGAAACTTGTATTTCTTCAGCCTCTCAAAAGGGGAAGAAAAATTGTCACCCAACAGGTTCAAGCTTGCTAAAAGAAGTTGACGTCGGATGGGGCCGTTTCTGGACGCAGACAGAGTTTAGGGCTCTGAAGGAGAAGTATCTCTCTGCTCTGGAAGACATTGAAAAGATTCAAAATAAGGATATGCAATTTCAATCTTCTTGGGTGTTTTATTAACCATTTCTCCAAATCTGACGGATTTGAATCTTGACAAATCTACCTCCAACGGAATTCGAGGAAAAAAAAAGAGGAGAGGAAAAGATTT